TTTTCCAAGCGGTGCAAATTTGGGAGCTATTCTTTGGCTAATTTCGGAGATCTCACTGATTTGCCATACTGCCATCTCTGTCCGCCATCTTGGATTTGCTCTAGCTTGTGATGCCGTCTCAAGCTACTTGTGGTTCGTGTTCGAAAGTTGTGGGAAATAAGGCTCATGCACTTCGATGCTTCAGCTGTGATGTTTTGTTCCATATTTCGTGCATTGGCTTATCCGTTGACGTGTTTCGAAAATCGCTCGACATCCGACATCGGTTTTTTCAAGTTATATGTGATAAATGTCGCGGTACAAGACATCAGAATACGCAGCGACCGCAAACAACTACGGAAAAATCTCTCTTTCAGATAGAAACAAACCGTTCACCACGTGGGATCAAACGCCCTCGTGAAAGTACCTCTGTCACCTCGCCTTCTATTGTCTCTCCGCGATCTGCACCACCACCAGCGTCTTCGACCCCGGCCGAACCCCAGGTTCAATGTTTCCCACCGATGGAAGACTCAGACTCAGAAGCTACGAAATGCCGCTTCACTGATCGGTCCGTGAATTTCTCAGAGCCTGTCTGTGAACTTCTGAACACCGAGGATCCATGGACCACTCAAAAGCGCAAGGGCCCACGTAATCGAGTTCAGACGTCACCTGCTGATAAACAACTACCCAATCAGTTAAGCGCCTCTAGTTCTGCTCCCACAGGTTCATCACTGATTTCGCTGAGGCGTCATAATCTCATGGTCTTCCACGTACCGGAGTCAAAAGATGAAAACCCTCAGATACGTTATGATCACGATGTTGAGTTCCTCCAGGGGCTCATCGATAGACTCTTGGATGTGGGCGAGGACAGTGTGACGATTAAACAAGTAATCCGACTTGGCCAGAAAACTAACCAGTCATGTCGACCTCTGAGGATCACCTTTGCAAATCCTAATATGCCGCAGCTCATACTGTCTCGTCTGTCAAGGCTGAAAGGCATAAAAGTTCACATCCGCCGAGATTTGGAACCCGAGGACAGGGATCGTTTGAAGACTGCGGTCATTGAGCTCAAACGCCGTACAGAGGAAGGTGAGACTGACTTACAAGTTGTAAATTTTCGGGTGATCAAGAAGGGTGTACGAACCCGTATCAACCGGTTGCTCAACCTCCAGGCACGTCCCGCAGTACCTCCCAGGACCTCCGTGTGGCATTCGCCAACGTGTGCAGCCTAATGAACAAACGTGACGAACTGTGCCGCTTCGCTGTCTCGGAGCGGCCGGACATTTTAGGACTTGCAGAGACATGGCTGAACTCCGACATCATACCCCAAGAAGTCGTGTTGTCAGGATACTCTTGTTTCCGATGTGACCGAAAATCAAAGGCTCACGGTGGTGTTCTGTTGTACATAAAATCGTCACTATCTGGCAAACTTATCAGTACCTATCGGAGCGAGGATAGTTTATGCGAGCAATTGTGGTGCACAATCCGTCTCAGGCGCGCAGAACTAATTGTGGGGGTTATCTACCGGAGCCCATTAAACCGTTGCTGCGATTGGATACCACATGTACAGAAGCACATGAGCCGCCCTCAGTTCTTACTGATGGGGGATCTAAATTTACCTAAGATAATTTGGCCAGATGTTCGACTTCTTCCCGGTCATGGCAACGTTGAGGCTCAATTCGCTAAAATGACTATTGAAATTGGGGCAACGCAACATGTCATCCAACCGACGCGCGTAACTCCGTACTCGGCATCTTGTCTGGACCTAATGTTTACGAGCTGCGAGCAGAAGCTAAAAGAGATCAGAGTCATCGAACCTCTGGCGAACAGTGACCACTGCTCTATTGTAGCAAGCTTAGAACTGTCGTTACCATATTACAATCAACAGAAGCCGACATTCAACTATTGGAAGACGGACTTCAACGGACTCGTCCAAGCCGCAAGTCAGACTGATTGGACACTACCACATGATGCGTCACTTGAGGCGTGGTGGTCATTAATAAAGGGGAAGCTTAACTCGCTCTGTACTCGGTTCGTTCCCCTTAAGTATCCAAAAATCGGACCTGTCAAACCGCATTGGTTTGATAGGGAATACAGACAGTTAGCGCGACGACGTCGTAAACTTTGGGATAGATACATCAGCTCGGGTTGTGATGAAGATTACGCGGTGTACAGGAAACAGCGTAACTTATGTAACGCCGCAAAGATCAAGAAACGCCGGCAGTTCGAAGAGGAGCTAGCATCCTCGGCCACAACTGCACCCAAGCGAATATTTGCCTACTTGAAACGTCAACTGAAACCTGGAGACGACCTACCGGTCTTAGAGAGCTTAGACGGGAAGACACTCATTTCAAGCGCGGAGCGCGCGGACGCCCTGGCTACGCACTTCCTCACTGTATTTTCCAGTAAACCGGCGGCTGTTCCAGTACCGGCACAGGTTGCGCAAGTCTTGCTCGACAGCCTACAATGTGATGCAGTCGAAGTACATCAGCTACTCGTCAACCTCAATGGTGCAAAGCCCCCCGGGCCAGACGGACTTCACCCACTAATACTCAAGTCCCTATCGATTATCATCTCACCAGTTGTGACAAACCTTTTCAATAGATCGCTCTCTGAAGGATCCGTCCCGAACGACTGGAAATGCTCGATAGTTAAACCGCTTCCCAAGGGTGGTGATCCGAGTAAAATAGAGAACTATAGACCGATCTGTTTGACTTCGGTATTATCCAAAGTTCTCGAGAAGGTTGTGAAAAAGTGTCTGCTGTCGTTCTTCGAATCGATGGACGTATTGACGCCAGCGCAACACGGCTTTACGAAAGGGCGATCCTGCATCACCAACTTGATGTACGCAAACCACCAGTGGGTTCGAGCTCTCAATGAACAGAAGGATGTTGACGTGGTGTACATCGACTTTAGTAAGGCGTTTGACAGAGTGAACCACGAGGTACTCCTTCGTAAACTGAGGACATACGGAATCGGTGGCACGTTACTTCAGTGGATACAAGAGTTTATTGTGGGACGAAGGTTTAGAGTACAGGTCAATGACTATCTGACAGAATGGTTCCCATCGACCAGTGGCGTGCCTCAAGGAACTGTACTTGGGCCAGCATTATTTCTTATTCATATCAACGATCTTCCGCAGCAGCTCCAGTCACCATGTGTCCTGTTTGCAGATGATTTGAAAATCTGGAGGATCATTGAAAACCAGGACGACTGCGCTCGCCTCCAGCATGACTTAGAGCGACTGTCAACGTGGTCCACTGAAATGCAACTCCCTCTTAACGCAAGCAAGTCGGAGTTCATCAGTATCACCAGACGTCCAGCCACTCGATCATACACCTTGGACGGCCAGTTGCTCCATCCCAACACATCTGTCAGAGACTTAGGAGTTCTCTCACGACATGATTTAAGATCACTAGAAAATACAGAGAAATTGTACCGTGCGGGACTTCGTATGCTCTGGGCATTACGACGCAGTTTCTCCACATGGTCCGAAGAAACCGTCCCTCGTCTATTCACCTCGCTCATTAGACCAATCCTTGAATACGGTGCCCCAGCTTACCATCCGATAACCCAATGGGAAACTGAAAAACTGGAGAAAATACAGCATATCGCAACTAGAATGATACCAAGTCTACGAAAGCTTCCATATGAAAAACGTTGTGAAAAGCTCGGACTCTACACACTATCCTATCGCCGAGTAAGAATTGATCTTATTATGACCCATCGAGTACTACACTTGAATCACTTCCCCATACTGCGGCCAATATTTCACCTGCGAGAACCCTGTAACACCCGAGGACATCGTTACAAACTCAGGGTCCCCAGCATGAACAAAGTATCACATCAGCTTTGTATCGAACGAAGAATCGTAAACTTATGGAATACACTACCAGAAGGATTAATAGAGGCCGATTCTGTGAAGTGTTTTAAAACCCGTATCGACGATTATTTTGGAAACCTGTGCTTTTGTGAAACGATGCACATACAGTGCCAAAAGAAGACATTGTATGTCCGGAAATAATGACGCTAGTACAAATTTCTAACCGAACACGGATAAACGATTAACGGACCAGACACAACTGCTGATAATTCACAAGTAAATTTTGATTTTTCGTAATTCGATAGAGTTGTACAGAAACCTTTCTACTTGCTCTTAAATCAATGTCTGAGAATCGAGTCAAGTTGGTGCCAATAATTCAGACCAAACCTTGTTACTTGCATGGAAAAACAGAATTTCACACAGACCAAAGTCAACTGCGCACAGAAAGGAAACAACTTGACTTGTACGGGAACGTAAGTGCGCAATTTCCCAAAGAAACCGTGTGCCTTGTATCAAAACAGTCTCAGTTACAAGCAGACTAGTGCATTGCCGTGTTGCAGAACATTTTTTACTATTGCCTTTTTCATACCACTCACACGTCCCTGATTCTTTGAAATTGATATATTCAAACTAGCACGCATCTGTGAGTTGCACTTTATTCCATGTGATTTCATTGCTACATCGGCTCGTTCCGTGTTTCGTAACTATACTTCTCATCCGGTGGGTTGTCTTTTTAAACGAGTGGCGCAATCTAGGAAGCTGCTAAGTTGATTGCCTGTGGACACAACAAATAAGATGAGTTGCTCATCTGCAAAACTACGTGAAGTCTTTCGGGTATATAAACTGAAAATGTTAAACTGTTGTTGAAGTCTTGAAGGATAGGATATGGTTCCGAAAAGAAAATTGCAGCTCCGCGAGGTATGTTTCAAAATTGATTGCAAATATATATAATTTAAATATATATATAATACACAATCTATGGTACAGATTTTGTGCCATCGAAATCATGGCTGAATAGACAAACAGTAGGAATGATAAGCTTAGAGCAACAACAAATGTTTTTTGTCTATTTTTCCATTCGCAGTTTTTGAAATTATTTGGGTTTGTTATTTTTAGGAACAGAAAGAAGGGACACCGCAACACACCGATGCACACGTTCGCCAATTACATCTATCTTGAGCCATGGCTTCGAAGGTCTTCAACCAGCAAGTATCCGCATCTCGGATTTCAACCAGGTAGTCAACAACAACCGGCCGAGGCCAACTGTTTCGTCAGCTTTCTCATGTGGCTTCTCCTTGTTGTAGGCTGTCCACCAGACCGTCTCTTCCAGCCTTGTCCAGCAATTGCAAACAAAGTACGACGCGGGTAACGCTGGACAAGCATGCGCAATACCTGTCCCAAACACCGCAGTTGATCCATTGAGACGAGCTCCTCGAGCGAGTGGTTTCCACGTCCCAAGACACGCTGTCTAACTTCCACACTGCGTACGTGGTGCTGTCATCACACACGCGCAATGGACCTCAGGCAACGGTGCTCGAAGACGGCCAGCCTGCGCAAGTCACCTTAACGAATGGGCCAGGTTTCGCATCCGTACAACAGTATAGCACAAACAGTTGCACGATGACCCGCCTTTCATGGAGAGACGTATGTCGTGGCGACGCCATGAATGCCTCAGCCTAGAAAAAGCGAGGCGTGCTCTCGAGATGCGCATCGAAATCTCGTCTTTAACAGCCCCACCAGCAGTGATGCAACTTCCCAAGTAGACAAAGCTCTCCACAACCTCTAGTGTCTCACCAGCAAGAGTGATTGCAGGCAGAGGCGCCTGCCAGTCTTGGAAGAGAGCCTTGCATTTGGATGGCGAAAAGTACATACCGTACTTTGAGGCTTTAATCACCAAGCGGTTTAGTGACATTTGGACGACATGTGGATCGTCCCCCAGCAAGACGATACCACCAGCACAATCCAAATCAAAAACTCGACTACCTAAATAAATAAATAAATAAATAGTTTATTCTCAAAAGCATAGAGACACACCAAATCAGGCATGATCAAGGATTAAAAGCAGTTATGTATCACGACGATACTTCGGGTTCAATCGTGTGTAGTTGAAACGGTCAAGGCACTATAGGTGCAATGAAACGGTGCATATAGACGGAGAGTATCATATACTTGCATGTGTCGGGAAGAGTTGAAATATCAGTCTAGTCAACTTGCCAGTACGTAGTTGTGGGCAGTGACTTTATTCAGCGGCGAGTCACATCCGCCACGTCGCAGTATTGTTAAGCAAACATTTGTGGCTTTTTATAGAGAGAACGCTTGCCAGGCGAAAACCCACCACGTCCTGCAACACTTCCGCAAACACATTTTGAACATTAATGTTTAACTGGCAAAGTCGCTTGACGA